TGTGATTGATCACTCGAGTGAGTGTGCCTCCTACGTATACATCTTTTGAGATTTCTTTTCGGCTCACTACTATATCTCCTGACTCGACAGATACTCTGATAGGAATCATTTTGACTGACCTAGCCGGAATTGTGATAGCCCTAGCTATACAAATCCGTCGGTCACCCTCCGCTCGCGTGAGAGGCAATGTTGCCATCGTCTTTCCTTTATCCAAGAGAATCAATTTTTTGTGCACCGTGTCTGCTATGCAACGATTCCAAAGTTCGTCTCTACCTAGTAATCCATCAGCTGGTAAACTTGTACCTTCCGGAACCACGTGCATCCTAAAATTCAGTCCTGGTATGTCCTTGTGATGAATTACCACGGACCCTAATGTATGAGTCTTTCCTCCGAATGCACCAACCAATCGTTTAGTATCACCTTGGTTTATGTTTATTTTTCTCTTTAGGGATTCAGGATTGATCAGACTGGTGTCTGCCCCTGAGTCCAGCAAAAATACTAACTGTTCGTTAATAGCTTGATCGCAAGGGTAAATAATGAAAGCATCATCGTGGCCCTCTTCCGTCGTATCGCAACAGACGTCTGCGACCTGGTTATAATCCTGGTCCCGGAAAATTTGTCGCTGAGAAGATAATCTCCACTTGGTTTTACGCAACTTTGTTTTTAAATTTATTATGAGCATTATAAATAAAGCCACTAATGATTGTATGATTTGTCTCACAGATTCCTTTAGCAAACCTTTATGTTCTTCGTAAGTTCTATTTTCGTACTGAGGTGTATGGTCGTAATAGTAAATCTGCGGTTGTTCTTTAAATGATACCTTCTTTGTGAACTTCATCATGCGTTTTGCCCTTGACGTTTCGATCATATTGTAAGTTATTTTAGAGGTTCTTAAACTCCCCTTATGTGACTCATCTGAAGTAGCTGAGGTGATTAAACTGTTATCCACTTCATGTACTAAACCCTTTCCGGGCGAGAATAACTCTTCCACTGAAATGCGTGAAATATCGCATTCATTTTGGGTATCAGCTGTTTTATCGCCTACCCTATGCCAATTTATGTTCTGATCATCGGCTGTCCAACCCTTTGGCGGGGGTTGGGCCGGCTTTAGTTTCCCTGATTTGCAGACATTGTTCCCCGTCGTATCTCGGGGTCACGTATTCCTTGTGGTACGAAGACATTGGAGGACGTGTAGCCGTTTGGAGAACTGTTCTCAAACCTACGGGTTGTGGCTGCCGATACTCACGTCTGTATTGTGGGAATTGATTTGAAAATCTTCGTTCGTACTGATTAGGACCCCGGTTTGGTTGTTGGCTCAAACCAGAATTGCGAGTTGTGAAATTTGACGGATTCGAGGAAGTATTATTTTGATAATTTCTGCCATCTCTCTGAGGTCACGCGGCTTGTTGCGCTTTCTGAAAGCAAAACTGATTTTCCTCATGACCTTTAATTTGGCACTGCTTGCAGAACACCGTTTGTAGTCTTTTAAAACAACGCTCCTTCTCATGTCCAATTCTTTTGCAAAAACTGCAAGTTTTTACGCTGGGTGCGTCTTTATTAGCACATTTCGGCCCTATTTCATGCCCGTAATCTCCGCAGTTGACGCAATACGGCGTATTTTTCCGTTGACGACATTCCTCCCTTACGTGGCCTTTCTTCCGACAAAAAGTACAAGTCAACTGATCATCTATCGGTGTCCTGTGTTCTAACTCAGCGTGGTTGAAATTAACTTGATGGCCCTTCTTATATTCCTGTCTCTTCTCCGCCATCTTAATTAAACCATCCAACTCAAGATTATCATAATCAATTAATGATTCCCTAGTTGCGTCATTTCTTAACCCTTTGATAAAGCTTTTGGACGCTAGAATTCTCAAATCCGTTAACAGACCCTTTCTATCCGACTCTCCCCAATTGGTGTGTATTAACTCCAAACCATCCGATAACAAACCTTCCAATTTGCTACCATAATTGCTGGCCGATTCTGCAATTCCTTGGTTTATATTGGCCATCTTCGTGCGGACTTGTTCCAGAGTGCTTCTCTTATAAAAACTCCGCTGGATATACTCGCAAAACTCTGTGATTGTGGCAAAGTCTTGTCTCCCTATCTTCGAATACGCTGGCCCACGGAGACGCTGCTTCAAGCAGCGGATAATGTTAAGCGTATTATCTGAATTCACTTCAGTTCCCCACTCTTGCTCCACTAGCTTGCATCCTTCCACGAACCTTTCTACTTCTGCCGCTAGCTCCGGTCCCTCTCCTCCTGTGAATATCGGACAGATGTTATTCACTGAGTTCATTATCGCCGTTACTTTCGCCATATTGGAGTTCGTCTGATCCTCTCTGTTTAATTTGTAAATCACCCCAGTTCCTATTACTGGCAATTGCAAAGTATCCGCGCTCGGAGTTGGTGGTCTGTTAAATGTATCCAGTTCTCTCCTCGTGTTTTCTAATTGCACTTTCAATGTTTCAATAACGTGGTCCTCGTCTATTAATTTACCGCTCTCCGTCAATTGCTCCGAAATTTCCTCCTCCGACTTTCCTAGATTTCTAAGACTCTGAATAAGCCGTTCGTTCTCTTCTTCTGCTGTTCCTAAAAGTTCGGTTAATTCCTCTTGCCTTTTCCTAAACCTTGTACACTGTAGTTCCAACCCAATTTTAGCTTCCTGTAACTGAACGTGCTCTTTCCGTTGCTCGTCCGATTTAATATCTTCCACTTCCTCGATCAAATCCAACAGATACGTTATTTCCGCCAGTTGTGACAAACGTCTTGATTTTATGGTGTCCTTATGTATCTGTATAAAATCCCTATTCTGTTGCAAAGCACCTAATTTCCGCCACGCATGTACCTGAATGGAGGCTATGAATGTTCGGAACTCATGGACCTCTTGTGCTAACTTCTCCGCTCTTGATTGAGCGTCATCCATCTATCCGTATTACTATATACTAGTAAAGCGATCCGAAATTCGAATAATCAAAAATCTTCAACCCTTAATAACCCTGAAGGACCAGATTTGGAGAAAAACAAATTTGTGTAAATGGAAACTGAATATCCAAAATAAATAATAAAGCTTAATATTCGAATATCCTCCAACTGAATATCGAACTTGTTATCAACTGATTACTTGAAACCAGAATTAGATATTATTATGATGTAAATCTAGTATTGGCTCAAACAAAAACCATTCCACTGATTCAATAACAAAAAAGGGAGTAGGAGAAAAAAAAATACTATACTGAATTAATTTCGTATATTTTAAATAAATATATAATTCTTTTACATCATTCGAAAAAACCGTATAAACCGTATAATTCGAAAAATTTACCATTAAATATTGAATTATTATTTATATGATTTAAATAGATATACCATATATGTTTATTATACCTTTAAGACCAATTCACATTCTTGATCCCAAGTTAATAAACACGATAGTAAAACGACTTCCCAGGGCTTAAAAGATTCAGAGTAGAGAGAAAAAACAATAGAACAAAATACCCAATAAAACGCCTTCCCAAGGATAAAAAAAAACGACTTCTCAAGGATAATAAAATTCAATAGAGAAAAGGAACAAAAAATAAAGCAAAAATACAGCAGCAGTGATTCCGCTGCTTGCTTACTCGGTAATTACCGAATGGTACTCGTATTCCCCACGAGCATTTTTCTCTCATTGAGAACATAAAGCATTAATTTGAGAATTGAGTTATGCAAAGTTTTGAAAACACTCAAAAAATGCAAAGCGTTGCACCAAAGTACTTTTCAATGAAAAGCAAAGTATGAAAAGAAAAGTGAAATATTTGACAAAAAACTGCTTTCTTTGCAGTTTCTGTTGCACCAACACTTTTTACTTTGCGCTTTGCAAAAGTAAACTGCAAAACTTTACAAAAAAACTGCAAATGATTAATTCACTTTGCAAATTTTGCAAAGTGATTTCTTTCAATGCGTAAAATGAAAGAAATCATTAATAAATAAATAAAAATAGTTTTAAAAAAATAGAAAATTAGTTTAAGCAAATATTATTGCTGTTTTTGAAATAAATTTAGTTGCAATAATTAAAGGGATATATTACCGGACAATACTTTTAAATTGTGAATATAAGAGTTCAGTTTCTAAAAAAACTTTATAATACATGTAATATAAATATTTTATGTGAATTATTGTTCAAGCATGAACACTTATTTATTATAATGAACAGTTTATTATTATTATAAGTCTGTTATCGTTCAAATTCTCCGAATTATGAACTAAGAAAAAACATAGGTAAAAAATATCCTATAATAGCTAACATTGTAATATTTTTAAATATCTAATTATCCGTATCTAATTATGATACTAAAAATATATTTCTAGAGACAATAGAAGAAAAAATCACAAGTACCCGTACTTCCGTCGTTCTTTGAACCTTTTTTGAAATGCAATTAATAACAATACAGTCCACTAAAATTAGTGATAACAGACAACATATTATTTTAACGTTGATAGTAAAATTAGTTAGGTAATTTTGTATAAATTGAGAGAAATTTTCTAAATAAAATTAGTAATTTCAAATTATTGAAACCGTGTACTTGATTGTTAATGGTATAATTATTGTGAAAAAAGACACTTTAGTTACTAAAAATTATTGTGAAAAAAGGCGCTTAAGTTATTTAAAGTTATTTTTGAATTAAATAAAGGTAAATAAAGTTTATATTATATTTAAATATAAATATTTCATGTGGTTTCTTTCTTAGTTAAAATGATTCGGCATGAAATTTTGTTTGGAGAAGATGATAGTCAAACAGTAGTAAATCGAGTAGTAAATCCAAGAACTAATTACAATTTGTTCTTGCACAGCATGGAACATTTCAGATTGAAAAACCATCAAATTGAATTTATTTTAATTAAAATTGGAAATGAGTTACAATACAATAGTGAAAGAAATCATTGTTTAAGTCCGGATTAACAGCTATTAACAACTTTACATTGGCTGGGTAACGGCTGTCAATACCATGGAATTGCAGTTATGCATGGAATCCATAAGTCAATTGTATGCCGCACAATTCACAGAGTATTAGACGCTGTTATCAACAAAATGCTTAATGCAACTATATGCTGGCCGCCTAATACTTATGAAATTGCGCAGCATTTCTTTGAAATTGGTGGTTTTCCTCAGGTTGCGGGTTGTATTGATGGTACAATGATAAACATTGATGCCCCAATGGAAAATGAGGCGCAGTTTGTAAATAGACATGGAAAACATGCCCTAAATGCAATGATGGTGTGTGGTCCTGACCGTAGCTATTACGCCATAAATTGTTCTTGGCCTGGAAGTGTGCATGACTCCAGAGTGTTGAGAAATTCACAGCTGTTTAATAATTTCGAGTCTGGTTTTCGTCCATTTCCTGGCGCAGTACTACTTGGTGATAGTGCTTACCCATTGAAGGATTGGCTAATTCCTCCTTTGCGAAATAATCCAACTATTCCACGAGAGCAGAGATTTAACAGATCACATAAAACTACAAGAAGAATTGTTGAAAACAGCTTTGGTAAATATTAATTTATAAACAATAGAAATAAAAAGTAACAAGTTTTTTATGCAGGAATACTTAAAGAGAAATTTCCTTGCCTCAATCACTTACGCCTACAACCTGAAATTGCTGCAAAAGTTATTTTAACTTGCTGCATACTACACAATGTGGCCATAAAGGCAATAAGCAGCACAACTATGGCTGACTTCAGTGACATTGTTTCAATAAATGCAGAGGATGCAGAGGAAGCTGAAAATGAACACGTGGAGGAGGTCTTTGAAGTTACACCGGGAGCGGCTAATAGACTTCAATCATTATTAGCTTTATTTGACTAGCATAAATTTCCATAATAAGATCCATGAATTTTTATAAGTTTAAAATTTTATTTTATTAATTTATATACATTAATTAAATATTTATTTATCTTATTTAAAAACGATATTTTAAATTAAACATACGATTTAATTAAATATAAGTTATTAAACTATAAACTATTAATAAACTTAAAATAAAAATAAGTTAGATTTTATACTTTTTACGCTTTGTACTTATATTTACAGTAATATTTATATTTATACATTATATACATATATATACTACTACTAAAATTTAAAAAATTTTGAAAAAATAATATTAAGTTAAAATATAAAAATTAATTCCATAAATTTCTTAAATATTGACTTTTATTGAATAAAATTGTTTTTTTTAAATTTTGCTTTTTTATATTTCATTTCTAATTTTAAATATCCTTCCTTTACTTCCTCGTAAAGCTCCGACGACGTTCGCTTGCGTTTTTTTAAAGTGTTTTGCTTAGGAGGTTGTTGCTGCTCCGACACCGACAATTCTTCGTCCACACCACCACTTTCTGCTGCTGCTATTCCGACTATTGACGGATTATCTTCGCCAATAATATCAAGGATGTAGTAGTCGGAAGAGTCAAGTAGCATTTCTCGACCTCCAGCAGCACCAGTTTTTTTCATATTATCGCGTTTAGTCTAAGAATTAACTATTAAAATATTTATTTGAAAACATAAAAAATTAATCATTTACCAATGTGCGAGACTTCCACATCCCAAACAACGAATCGCGGGCATAACTCCACTTGCGGTTAGTTCCAGCTAACCCGAGGGATTGTGCTTTACGCAACACTTCCGTCCAAGCATCAATTTTCTCTTGCCGAGAGCACTTGTTGCCTTTAAACGAAGCAAATAATAAAGCCTTTTAAAAGAAATAAGCAAAAATTAATATCATTTATAATAAAAAACGAAACTAAATTTATTTTTTTAAATTGAAATATTTTGTAATAATGCAAGTATGTATAACACTTGACTTGACTTTTTGTTTTTTAAATTTATACACAACTATACAAATATTTTAGACGCAACAACCAAAACAAAGTCAAATAAAACCGGTACAAAATATTTAAATTTATATTATTGCAATGAATTATGCACAAGTAAATAAGTTTGTCCTTACCTTCTTCTCCTTTATTAACTCTAACACCGCAAGTTTTTTATTTAATTTCAATTGCTTACTCATTATTATATTATAAATTACCACCGAATTACTTGCACTCAACAATATAAAACATTCACTAAATATTTCTTTGGCCAAATTTACAATATTATGAGCGTAACATGAATATTAACTTGAAAACGAGAGAGAGCGAAAAGAGAGTCATGAATTCTAAGTAACGAAATTTGTTGCTTTTTTTCAGCTTGGTATGCATACATTTTTTTGGTGTTTTTGGGTTTTGGTGCTCTGCACTTTAAAAAACAAGTATACATACAGAAACGAAATGCTTTCAATAACCAATACAAAATGAAAGTGATCTAATTTTTTGGTGCAACGCTTTGCTTTGCATTTTATGCAAAGACTTTGCAGTGAAATTTTTATTTGCAAAGTGCAAAGTAAATTATGTTAAGTCTTTGGTGCAACGCTTTTCACTTTTACTTTGCAAAAAAAAGTCACTCATAAATTTTGCGAAGTGAAAAGTGAAAAGTGTTGGTGCAACAGGGCCCTGATATCACTAAAAATGGTAACTCAATATTTTTCTTCCCACCTATTTTAAAACATTTAGCAATAAGCATTACAAAAATTGCGTATTTCTAAGTACTTACGGAAAAATTTTGCAATTTTAATAAAAAATCAATAAAACCCTTTCCAACAAATGTTTCACGACTATCACTGAAATAATGAATGGTTTAAGAAAATCCAATGTTAATTAAAATTAACGGAGATTCGTGAATATATACAATATTATTACAAAAGAGACGCGAATGTCGTGGAAAGGCTGTGGTTATTTCTGAACTAACAACAGTTGCGTTATAACCGTGAAACGGTTAAAACAATTGTTATTGAGACAGAAACTATTGATAACAATACCAACAATGTAATTGTTAGGTAGGTAGCAGCGCTAACTTATGTGTACAAAAACAAAAAAAATGTATATGGAAGGTTCAATAATATCTGATTATCTTACACCTATTGAGAAACTGGAAGATTTAAATTCTTATAATATTGTTCTTGGTACAACCGATATACTACTTTCAGAACAACTTGCCAACGCGGAAATATAATCAAATATAAAACTTTACCTCCAAACAATGTTATATTTGGGTTAAAATCAGATAATGTGATGACAAGAGCTATTTTTATGAAACTTGATTCCAGTAAAAACAGCTATAATTATTTAATTAGAAATTAAAAACAACATCATTATTCATGACTTCTAGTCGATAAATGAGATAAAAAGAACGACTTCACAGTGAATAAAAAGATTTGACAAATGCACTTCAGCGCATGCCAACCGACATACAATTTGAAGCAAATAAAAATACGAATAGTTTGAAAACAATATGAAATCTAAATAAATAAAAGTTTAAAAAACAAATTTTATTATAAAATGCGAAAATGTGCGCATGCAACGAAGATTTTTATTTACGTTATGCCAGAATCCAGACTTAAATGATAAAGAAAGTATGATGGGAGAATTTATGATGATTATA